TAAAACAAGAAAAAATACTTGAAACCTCAAAGAATTCAAATAGCCAATAATATTAAAACTCTTATTTATTTTTGCAGTACTCAGGTTTGAACTCAGGGCCTACACCTTGAGCCACTCTACCAGCCCTTTTTTATGAAGGGTGTTTTCAAGATAGGGTCTTGCAAACTATTTGCCTGGGTCTGGAACAGTGATCATCCTGATCTCTGCCTCCTGAGTAGGAGCCACCAGTATGCAGTTCAAACCCTCCTTTTAGAAGATGCAACTTGACACAATGAAATATTTTACTTATCAGAATAACTTGCCCTGTGTGAGGAAAATGAAGACTCGCTGTTGAAGGGAACATAAGTTAACAGTCTTTAGAGAGAAGTTCAGTAGTGTGGTAAGACCAAGTCAAACCTGACTAGCAGCTCTGTGTCTACCATTGTCACCTTAGAAATCCTTGTATGTAAAGATATGGTTCAAAGACAATAGCATAGGACTTTAAATTTCCTTTGAGTGTCTACCAATAAAGACCAGTTAAATGTGTTATTGAAATATTTCAATACCACATAATACTAATGTACCTGAATAAAGTGTTACAATTCTGAAATGTTCCCATAACACCTTATTAAGGAACTACAGGATTATATTAAAGCTATGTTCAAATGCAAAGAAGTCTTTTGAGGCATATGTCAGACCTACTAGTCATTATGCAAGATAGAATTGGAGCTGGAAAGCAGGCTTTTCATGTTGTAGGCATTGCTATTCCTTAAATTTAGACAGTTGTAAGCCACTTCCATAAGTTTGTCAGAAATTCAGTTGCAATACTATTTTAAAAAAAAAACAAAACTAGGAATCAACAAGTCTGTACATCCCTCACCACTTCAAAAATCCACCACCCAACTGAGACAGAGCTTGGGAAAGACATGAGCCAGCACTGCCACCCTCGAAGCCTCGGCTCTCACCCCAACCACCATTCCACACAGATGTGCTTGAGACACAGGCTACCATGGAGAATTATGGACATCCATGGAGACAGTCAAATAGTGTCACTAACTTGCTCTTCCTCCCTTCTTAAGATCATGTGTGGTTACTATGGTGCAGTGTCATCTAACTTAGTTTCTCTTCTGCACTAGAATCTAACCATAATTTTGGCATTACCATCCACATCAGAGTCCTTCTTGGTGTCTTATTTTGTAGCTAGGTTTTAGAATCTAAACCTAGAAGTCACTGAGTGAACCCCTAGCTTAGATGAACATTTGTTTCAAGGCGCACTCAGGTTGCTTCCCTTTTCCATGATCCTCAGCAGTAAGACTTGAGACCCAACATGTACTTATTCATTTTGTCTCAGTGTGTAGAGGGAAACAGTGGGGGAAGACGATGAGGTTGGGGGCAGAGATGGAGGGGCAGGGAGCCAGCTGACATAAGAGACCCACAATAATGGTAGAATAGTTTTATTGACAATGGTACAAACCAAAACCCTAACATTGCATTGAAGTCATTCAGCATCAACATCCTTAAATGAGAAACTTAATCCTTCCACGGGCCCAAAGGAGCCCTCCAGTCTAGGTGCCCTCCACTCCCAATAGCTCCGAGCTCCCACCTGACACTCATTGGATAGTGAAGGCCTTGGTGCCCTGCAGCCATGTCTAGCCTGTGACAAACCACCCCTTTAAACAGAGCTCTCCTCCCAAGAGGCCATGAATACTAGGCTGGAGGGAAGTGACATTCCAAGGCCTAAACCAGTTTTGGACCTGCTCCAGGACTATGGTAGGTAGAACAATAATAGCAGAATAACCTGGAAGGATCCAAACCAGAGTCCCATTTACGCAGTACAGCTTTAGCACCATGCTAAGGGCAAACACACTCATCCCAGCTCTTTCCCTACTTGAATGTCCTCCAAGAAGGCTCTAATCCTGACCCCTCCACAATCCAGGACAGAGAAACTCTTAGACTCTGAACTCCCAATGGGCCCAGAGCCCCCATCCACCTACCAGTGGTAAGAATTCTGAGAAAAGCAGTAAAGGAGCTTCTGCTCACAAAGAGGTCCAAGAACAGTAGCTCCCACAACTCCATCCTTCTCACTGTGCTTGAGAAATAGAAACTAAATTCCCCTCACCCTCCAAATAGCTCTGAAGACCATGGTGACAAATCCCAGCCTCTCACTAGAGTCCTGAGACCCTAGTGAGTGTAGGACCCATAGATGCTCCAGGGTATCTCAGGAGCAGCCACACTTTTGTATCAGGGATGTGTTCAGGTAGTGCACACTCATCTTGTGTTCATCATCCTGGACCATCAAGGAGAAGAGCTTGACCTTGATGGGACCACAGACCTGGAAGATCCAGGAACAAGTGGGAGATTCTCTCTGTAAGAACAAAGGACAGGAGAGTGAACCCTAGTACAGCCATAGCCCTATAAATAGAACATCTACTGATAGAAGGACCGGAAATGTGGCTCAAGCAGTACAGCACCTGCCTAGCAAGCATGAGACCCTGAGTTCAAACCCCAGTATTGCAGAAAAAAAAAAAAAACTGACACATACATACATCAGTAGACTTGGTTGGCAGGGCTAAGTGGGAAAGGAGGAAGAAGACATGAGGAGGGCCACTTCAGAACAGTCTTTAGGAAATTAATATTGTTACTTATGAACAAAGATAGGCAGATTGTCACAATAGAGGAATATGTAGCATACTACATCAGTGCCAAACTGCATCAGCACCACCTTCAATGGCTTCTGCAGCTCAAAAAAAGAGGCACAGAGTTAAGCACTTAGTGCTACCCCAACGTAACTGCAGAAGAGAAAATAAGGCTTCATGTCTTACCTTATAGCACCCAAAGTTGGAGTAATGGAGCTCACTGTTGAGAGCCAGACAGGTCCCCTGACAGTAAGGAAAGCTGAAAGTCTTAGGTGCAACAATACACTGGCCCCAGGCAGCTCTGTGAAGATTCACCTGGCGATCATGCAGATGACAGAGCTTCTCTGCTGGGAGCAGAGCTTGGCCATGGTCTACCTCCTGGTGGTTCTGGCCCAGGATCAGCTGTTCTACATTAGGAATAAAGGGCTCTTGGACATAAGGCAGATGAAACAGAGGTGGCTGCGTGGAGAACATGGATATGAACAGCAATACTACATCTCGCTTGTCTTGATTGCTGGAACACTCCATCAGGCTGGTGTCAGCGGAGTCAGTGGATAGAGTCTTTTCCTCTGTCATGAGGGCAGGCACCACCTCCATCCAATATGTTAGCAAACAGTAGATCTCTAATAATGATCCTCTCTTGGAATGAGACGATGAGAAGATAATGGGGAAAGAACCCAGGAGGACTCTGTGAGGACCCCTTTGGTGATCCTTGAACTCTAGAATAAGCTCAGTGGATTGGGGAGCGATTGGTACCCAGGCCCACAGCTGTAACAAGGAAGTTCCCAAGAAGGGAGATGCCTCAAAATGGAGGAGCCAGTGGCTGTGTAGGTACTGGATGCCTGCAGAGAAAGAAGAGGGAAAGCTCCAGAAGGCTGAATAGAGTGTTCTAGCTCTCAGAGTCCCACAGAGGAAGATCACTAAACACTACCTCCCTTCCAGCTTCTCACTCTCCACCCAACCAACTTTGCAGGCTAGGATAATGACTTAGCAAACCCAGCTGTGTACACCCACCCACAAAGCCAGCTCTTAATTTCACAGCAACCAGGAATGGATTTAGTTTCTACACCTATCCCCCATTATTGAAATTGAATTATAAGATGATAGCCCTATACTTAACCATTCCAGGCACTATGACCCTAGGAGGAGCCACTTGCCCTATCATGTCTCCTAACACATTGTAGTTGTTGCCCAGCTACCCATTGCGCTTTCCATACTTTAGAACATCCTTGCACACAGAACATTAGGACACCAACTGTTAAGTTTAAAGACAGCCTCCCTATTAGAACTGCAGAGCTGAGACTAGGAAACAGATTTTTCTCCTGCCAAGCCAGCTGAGTATTCCTGTCCCTAACTCCTTGCCCTATTCCCAACAGACCCAAATATCTGTGATGACTTACATCTCACTGCTCTACTGCCACACAAAAATGATGCCAGATATCTCCTGGATCTTTACTTCCCTGGCAGAGACCAAAGCCCCAGCCACTTACTTTTGGATGTCAGGGTAAAACCATGTTGCCTGGCCAAAAAAATCTCATTTACTTGGGAAGGCAGAATCTGAGTGGGACAGTCCAGTGGCTCCACCCAGCCACAATGCACGTACCAAAGGCCCAGAACCAGAAGCCCATGGATAAAGCCCTTCCTGCTGCTACTGGCTTCCATTGTGCCACTCTTAGATGCTGGGCTGCTCTCACTACTGTCTTTAAATACCCATGTGCCCAGGTGTGGGTCCTATGCTAACCCTGACAGCTTGAGACTGATCAGGAATCCAAGAAAAACTGAATTCAGGTGAGAGAATCTGCCATTCCCAAGAGAACTTCAATACCGTCCCCTACGCAGTAGAAGCTTGAGAAATTATAACACAGAGTATTTCTCAAAGTGAACATTGAAAGCGTAAGGGTGTGATTAGTCGACAGAGGCATTTAAAAATCTGTGTGCACTGGCAGAACATGTCAGTCAAAATGCTAGCAGCAAGGACAGGTGTGGAGAATCTACAAATTACAAATACCCTAACCCAACTCTGAACCCTCCACTGAAGTGGTTTTCAGACTTTAGCCAACATCAGAATCACCTCAAGTGTTGGTTAAATCAGAGTTCGCTGCACCCCATTCCCAGAGTTTTTTATCAGTCAGTCAATGGGGTCTGAGAATTTACCTCTCTTGCAAGTTCCCAAATGATGCTGATGCTATTTGCCCTGAGGCCAAACTTAGAGAACTGCAGATCCATGTTTTTTTATACCATGACCAGTACCTAGACGATGCTTGATAAGTATAGTATATGTTTATTCATTTATAGTAACTAAGCTGTGCTTGGGTGTTTTGTACCACTAGAATTCTTTTCTAAAGAAATCCTTCTCGGATTTGACCTACAGCCGCCCGGGAGAAGATGGCCGCACCGACAGTGTCCCTGCTCTCCCAGCAGGTACGGTGCTTCAGAACATCAGTGGTCAGGCCCTTTTCCAAGCTTGTGAGGCCCCCTGTTCAGGTATATGGCACTGAAGGTCGCTATGCCACTGCTCTTTATTCTGCTGCATCTAAACAGAATAAACTGGAACAAGTAGAAAAGAAGCTACTGAGAATAGCTCAACTCCTGAAGGACCCTAAAATGTCTACTTCTATTCTGAATCCCTACATTAAACGTTCCATTAAAATGAAAAGCCTGAGCGACATCACAACAAAAGAGAAGTTTTCCCCACTCACCTCCAACCTCATGATTTTACTTGCTGAAAATGGTCGTCTGGACAATACCCAGGGAATCATGGCTGCCTTTTCTACCATCAGGAGTGTCCACCATGGAGAAGTACCTTGCACAGTGACTACTGCCTCTCCTTTAGATGATGCTGTTCTCTCCGAATTAAAGATAGTTCTGAAGAGCTTCCTAAGTCAAGGCCAAGTATTGAAATTGGAGGTTAAGACTGATGCGTCAATCATGGATGTAATGATTGTCCGTATTGGGGAGAAGTTTGTTGACATGTCTGCAAAGACCAAGATTCAGAAACTGAGCAGGGCCATGCGGGCAGTTATGTGAGCGCTCTGGTGTCCATCATCAGTGGAAATTTCTGCACTCGGAGCAATAGTAAAATGCTTCCTGACCCAAAAAAAAAAAAAGAAAGAAAAAAAAAAAGAAATCCTTCTCATTAAAAGCCTGAAATTCACCAAATCTGGAAGTATAAAATTAAGCACCCACATAATGAAAGTAGCATTTGGGATTCATGCTCTCAACCTCCTTTTGTTTTGTTCAAGAAGAGGAAAAACATGGATCTTCAAAAAATCCAAAACAAAAATTACAAAGACATAGAAGTCAACTCAGTCCTCTTCACTCTCCACAACACTTACAGTGATTATTATGAATAACCTGTTAATAAAATGCATGAAGTAAGGCATACTTCATTAACAAATTAACCTGCATTTCATAACATTTGTGTTTCTTAAAAAACCAAATCACACTGATACAATCAAAACAGAAACTTGAGGTTTATTCTCATTAAAAAAATGCAGTGTGTGTGCATATGTGTCCCAAATTATGTAAATAAGTATATACCAAATAATGATAATCAGTATATTGCATCTTTAGGGATGTTTCACCAACACTAGCTAATGGTCTTACACAGCAAGCTTGTGAGATAGGCATCATCATCTTTGTTTTGTTGATGGAGAAACTGAGGAAGAAGGAGGTAATGACTTGCCCAACGCAGGACTCTGTCAGCCTCCAAGGTAGATAGGCTGTGTTAAGGCAATTCTTCTGGATTTTTGTCTTTTAAAAATCACAAGGTACAAAACCAAGCCAAAAGAGATAATAACTCAATTTAGAAAAACAAGCTTTGGTAAAGAAATGAGCACTTTTTAAAGCTAGGACAGAATTTCGAAAGCTAGTAATTTGTATGCCCTCAAGGTTCCTACTAATTACCACCACCTCCCCTGTGTTATTTTTCTTGTCAATGAGAAGTTGATGATAACTCTCTCTTTTGAGCTTATATTCTCTGCTCTGTTTAATGAGCAGGTTCTTATGGAACCCCAATTAAATATGCAGTGAGCTTATGGAATTTCTAGCAAACCTGGCTTTCCTTTTTGTTTACATAAATTAATCTTCAAATTCTCAGCAAGGGGAAGGAAACAGCTCCTGTCTAATCCCCAGGCCTTCCCTAAATGGCTTCAAAAGCTATACCAAGTGTGAATGTGTTAAGTAAAAATCCTTCATGAATTTGTAAATTGCTTTAAATAAAGCCCTTCCATAATATAATCTGGCATGAGAAGCTTTTTTTTTTTTTAACTAATTTATAGCTAAGCAGCTGTTGTTTTGTTAGCTTCAGCTTCTTTTACACAAGAAAATCTGAAAATGAATCATGCAAACAGAGAAGCCAGATTGCTTTCTATGATAAATATTTTTTACGCTTCTCTTAGAGGACTTTGCAAGTTTCGGAAAAGTAAACACCAAAAAAAAAGATCATTCATTAACCATCATACTGGAGAAAATGCCGACCAATTATGTGGTCAATTTATGTTTCAATAGATTTTATTTCCTGTGTCACTGCCACGTTACGTCTGACTGTGGCTAGCAAAATATGAGCCAACTTTTCTGAGACACTACAAACCCAAGCAGATGCCTCAAGGAGTTAAGGTAGGATTGACTTCTCAAGTCATTGACTCTGCTGTGTGTACACACTCCCTAGTCCATTCGGTCCACTTGGATGTGGTCAGAATGAGAGGCTGATGAAACATCCTCACTAAAATGCTCCAAGTCTTCTTGGCACTTGGCATAATATACGTAGGAGTACTCTGTAAATTTTAAGTTGTAAGTCCCTTCTGTGGACAGGGATGTGGTATGCTTCTGTAATACAGTCATCTTTAAGCTTCTCCTTAAGTACCTTGCCAATAAATAAAAAATACCACTCACCCCAATATCTATATACATGTTCATTCATTAATACACTATGTATGAATACTTCCCAACTAGTATTTTAGATGTTTTATAAGATGCACAGAAATAGGAAATGTAAAAGGATAAGAAAAATAAATAGAATTCTAGTTCTAGTATGTCTAGTATGTTCTTCCTACTCCCAATGCTCTACTGTAATATTAAGCTCATTTTGAAAATAAGGGGTGATAGTTATAATTAATACTTACAGAGTATGTGTAAATACTGCTAAATATTACTAATTCCAGTGCTTTACATGTATTAACTTGTTTGATCTTGGTATCAGCCTTATGCAAGAGGAATAATTATTATCTTCATTTCATAGATGATGAAACTGAAGCACAGACTGGTCACCTAATTTATCCATGGCCACACAATTATAAAGCAACAGGGAAAGGATTTAAACCCAGGCAGCCTAGAGCTAGACTCTAGCTAATCTGAAGGCAATTTATTATCATACTGACAGGTAAGTTAGTATGCATCAGTTTCCATAATATCTGCATAATGACATGTGTCTTACCATTTTATAATTGTTACTTTGAATGTTTGCCTCCCTGACTAGACTGAAAAGTCCTTGAGTATGGAGACAAATATTTTCATATTTATATTGCAGCACTGAGCACAGTGCCTGGTTCTGAAAAAGCACTTAGTAGGCACTTGTTGAATGGATGGTTGAATAACAAAAAAAAGATTTTATAAAATGGGTAGATGGATATATATAACCTGAAGCATTAGATGTGCATTGAAATTTGTATGTGGTTGAAGTAGGGATGAAAAGCTCTCCTGCCAACAAAAAAAAAATCAAATTTTTCTCTTAATGAGAATTTGATTTGTTGTTAAACCAACACATAGGAAAAAATAATCCACTGATGTTATCCAAGCCTCTTCAGGTACGAGTTCTGTCACATTCATGACCCTCCAATCCCTTGACCTTAGAAAAAAAGAAAGGTAAGGTATTATTTATGGAAATAATGTATCTCTTAGGAATCTTATTCATGTTATTCTCTCATGAAAAGAATAAAACAAGAAGAGACTTTTTCCTCATGCTCTGGAGTCAACAGGAAATCTACTTCATAACAAACGCAGTCTGGAGATCGCCAGGTTAATTTTTAAAAACATGGGTGAGTTAATGAATGATAGCCTTGCCTTTATGAAATGGAATCCAGTCTTAACCCAAAATATGCGGGTATACTTCCATTAACAACATTTGTCATAATACAAACTATCCAGAATGCAAGACTATTTGACACTTACTCAATCCAGGAGAATCACAAATCAGCAGAGATATGATAGCCAAACCCTGAAAAATTTCTTTCTATACATGAAGCTGGAAAAACTTCAAGGCACTTTGATTCGAACACACATTCTAATAAAATGTGTATATATTTTGCATTAATCACTTCTGTATGTAACTTAAGACTCAAAAGATTCTGAATCAAAACAGTGATTGTGGAATGAATCAGATTATGAACTTAATGTAATAAGTTCCACCCAAACTACATAAATTTGTTTGCTTTTCATTGCTTTATATTCTTTCAAATGAAAGGTAGTTTTATAGAAGCTGAATTCTAGATTTTCTTTGTTGTAATTATATTTGGCCTTTTTCATTTTGGTAGATTAGCCTTACTCTTGGAGCTTTCCTTTAGCAGCCAAATACAATTTCCATTATTTTATAACATTGCTTACCAAGCTTATGTCACTCTGAGGGCCATACCTGTCTTTCTTTATTTTCCTCTCTTCAGAATCCTACCCACAATACTGTTCACAAATTGTTACTGAGTTGAATCACTGTTGAGCTATTTAGCAAAGTTAGCATTTTTCAAAGGTATTACCTATTTAAATGAGCAGAAGGGGAACAGACCTCTGCTACTTCAGTGGTTATGCATACCCTCAAAGCAGCAGCAGCATCACCTAAGAGCATCCTAGAAATGCAGAATCTGGAACTCTCAGACCTTAATGTGCATTTGAACTAACTTGGGATGTTAGAATGTAGATTCTAATGCAGTAAGTACAGACATTCGTGATGCAGTAAGTATGGGACCAGAGATGCTGCAGTTTGGGGAGTTCCCAGGTGATGCCTGTTCAGCTAGTCCTCAAACCACAGCAAGGCCTAGGGGAAAAAACACACAAAGATTTCACACCTGCAAGGCCTATAAAACAAAGAGATGTGTGGGAAGAGTCAGTAGTTGATAGAGATTTACTTCACATACCATCTGCAACTAGCCCTTTTATGATTGAGTTATTTGGCTCTAAGTAGACTGGTATTTCTCTGCATATTATCTCTCTATTAAAAGAAGATGGAGCTTCAATTTGTTTTCTGATAATGTTAACATTCGATGCTTGTATTCATTTTATGTCTTCTATTGTTAATACTATTAAAACCAGCCAGCTATCATTTTAAGAGTTATATTTAAGAGAAAGAAAATCAAAGATATAAAGACATATTCCCAAGTATAAAAAGTATAAAAGCTGTAAAAAGCTTATCTGTTAAAAATATGATTTCATGTTAGTAAAATGTTTACTAAAACCAACTAAAGAAATCCTGGTGGTCTCCAATTTTAACTTGAGAGTATAAACCTTGGAAGTCATCAAATTGATTTTCTTGCCAGATTTTCCATCTACAAGATAGTATTAAAATTAAATTTCCTACAAGCATACATACCAAAAGGTGCTAACAAAATATATTGGTTCCTCTACATAAATGGTTCACAGTTAGTAAGCATGTGAAAAGATGCTCAACATCATTTGGCATCAGAGAAATACAAACCAAAATCACAATGAAACACCACTTCATACCCACTGAAACAACTATAACTACTTCTCACCCACTAAGATGACTATACTCAAAAGACTGATAGCAATAAGTGCTAGTGGAGATGTGGACAAATTGGAACCCTTGTACACTGCCTTTGGGATGTAAAATGATGCAGCCATTTTGGAAAAAACTTTGGCAGTTCCTAAAAATGTTACACATAGGGTTGCCATGTGACCCAGCACTTCCTCTCCTAGGTGCATGCCTATGAGAATTGAAACCATACATTTGCACAAAAACGTATCATAAACGGCCATAGCAGCATTGTGTGCAGTAGTCCAAAGGCAGAAACAACCCAAATGTCCATCAACTGATGAAAACCAAAATATGGTAAAT